GCTTTCAACATGTTTTATGGAGGACATTTCCATATTTGACGCATCAGTGACAAGAATGATGTCCCTTTTCTTCAGGTGAACATTTGACTTACCTTTGCATGTGTTTGTGACGGGGCAGGATACGCTCACCTTTTTGCGAACGCCTGGTATCATTATTTGATAGTGATTCGTAGATACATGCTTATGATATAGTCGGAGTCGTACAATCGACTCTCCGTTGACAATGGAAAAGGTTTTATCGCTTTTATTTATTGAAAAGTATGTTAAAATAGAGATGATGGCATACCATGTATGGTATGTTAGCACACTTTATTGGCGCAGATAACGATGATTTTGCTGTAATGTGGCATTATACAAGTACAGAATTCTGTAAGTATTTCTTTAACATAAGGAATACCTTGAACAATCTGTGGCAATAACAATAGAATATTTCTCACTATTTGTGGCTGCTATATATGTGTGACACTGTTCCCACTCTGATAAATTTATTTGATTAATTTGTTTCTCAATAATTTCATTAATGTTTTGAGAATCTTCGGATTCATGTGGATGAAAAAGAGACATTCATGTATAGTGTCCTGTTGCGTATTTATTGAATATTTAACCTTGCAACATGATTAAAAAACATTGGTTCTACCACGTGCTTGACAACGGTATCAGGATCTATACCGGAACATCGCCATTAGAGTAAAATAAGAAGTTATCAATAGTTTGTGTACATGTACATGTTTCAAGAGTGTTGATTGAATACTGAGTCGTGTTACATGTTATTGAATATTGATGAGGACGAACCTCCTAAGTGTATCCCTTGTGATGAAAGGTTCACCGTCAAGCATATATTGCTTGACTGTGTGAACTTTGCAATCGCAAGGGATTCACATTATCAAAGTGTAAATCTAAAAGATCTCTTTTCCCGTGTCAGCGAGCATCTCATCATAAATAACTTGTAAGAAATTGGTCTGTATAATAAATTTTAAATATGTATGTGAATAATTAAATGCATGTTTTTAAATTTGGTGTGATGCTATTAGCAACTGACATTATTAAAGGCTCTGTCCATCAATTGTCATCAATTGTTTTTAAATATGACATTGCATAAATAACTAAATTGTGTATATATTAGCTTGGTTTCGTCGCTATATGGCTGAGATAATGCCGATGCGACGTTAAATTAAAAAAAATATTAAAAAAAATAAAAAAAATATTGGTCAATACAGCGCACTTATTGAACATTGATCCTTTTAAAATCATTTTTGAACATTGGTCAATATGAGTCCGACCGTTCTTCACGCCGAAGATGGTAGTTGATTGTTGATATCTATTCTTTTGGCAAATCAAGGGAGAGTGATTTCAATTTGAACCCTCACGTCTTTCAGACACGTTACGACTGGTAAATCTGGAGATGGCGAAGTTTTTCACAGTACAAAACAATCAAATTCAGGATATTTTCAGATTTATTCTGTATCCAGAAAGAAAGAATTTGAATACGAACAAAAAAAAAATAACAACAAAAAACAGAAGATATTTCAGAGAGAATCGTTTCCTTCGTCGAAAACTTTTCCTTAAGTAACCAATTACGATTGCATAAAATCTTGGGCTAGAGGAATGAGGTGGGCCCTGTTGACAGAGCAGCATATGTCACTTCAAAGTCAAAGATGAATATTGCATTTAAGGCCTCCGACCCATATACAGAGGAGTTACATATATGCAAAAAAAATTAAAAAAAATGTTTTATGGGAAAAAACCCAGTTGCGCTTCATGTGCGCTGCCTGGTTACACCTCATGGCTGGAATCAGTACGTCACTTAAAAGGATATGACGTAAACGGTGACGTCATCCACGTTAGCTTTCTGATTAATGCGACATCTCCGCTTGGATAGCCGCCCGCTCAAGACGTGTTTTGCCCTGTCTCATTTTAGCAACTTAAAAGGACGCAAAGGGATTGAGGACTTTCAGTTCTTTTCCAATCAAATCGTAAGTACGTATACGATCCTTTCTAGCGTCTTAGTCTTGTTGGATTGTAATCATGGATGTATAAAAATGGACTACATAGAATACCTTGGTCAGAACGTATTTTGATTGTAGGACATTCTTATATAAGTAGTTTAAACATATTTGGATACATACCATTAATGAACAATTTCAATTTTTAACATATGTAGCCAGTTTTAATGTGACAGCATCATCTTTTGAAGAGAGAAGAGAAATAGAAGCAGGTACAAGATAGCGTCCTGGCGTAAACTTGTTTCTTAGATCACAATAATAAGGATAAACATAAGTTAAATGAATTTCATTTTCTATAGCTGAATGACACAATGGGTATAACCTCTTTGATTTGTCTTCCGTCATTTATCATGAGATCTAACAATCCAAGCCTAAATTGAATACAGTAAACTACGGTTATAACGAACACGCTTATAACGAACTGACGGATATAACGAACTTACTTTTAATCCCCGACTATTTGCTGTAGTTATGCTGTATATATGCTTATAACGAACTACGGTTATAACGAACTAAAAATAGCAGTCCTTTGAGTTCGTTATAACCGTAATTTTACTGTACATGGACGTCTAAGGGTTCTTGATGTTAATACAGATAAGTATTTTTCTGGTTGAACAAGATTCTTATAAGTGCTATACAATCCATACCTTGAATTGTTTTATAGAGTGGAATGTCATTCTTGGGAAACATATTTATAGATTGTTCACGAAATTGTTTAAAAAACGAGTTTAACATCACCAACTTTTTGGCTTAACAATACAAAGCCCTGGCCATGAGAAAAAAAGGTTTCTAGTATGTGATGCGATGGTAACTTTGCCCATGTCATCCAAATGTACCAGCATATTATAAGCAAGTTTGGGTATTCGGCAATCTTGCATTCTAGAAATATTAAACCAGTATTTCAAGCATCTAATTTGAGAGTTTATGTATAACGGGTATGTGGCATACTTGCCATATATAATACAATTGGGCGTTGATGGACCAACGGATAAGAATCTTTTACAGGCTAAAATATGTAGCTTTTCGTGACAATCGTATCGCTGAAATCCCCATACTTCTGATCACTAAACAGAATTGGTTTGATTTGGGCATAGCAAAATTTACAAAATATATTCGGTGTAAAAACTCCTACTCTCTGCGAGACAGTCATACCATTAATTAAGGTCTTCTTTGCACGTGGTGTTAAGTCCGAGACACTTGTCTTGAATTTCATTGTATGGGTAAACATTGCACCAAGCTATGTATAATAACTCAGACCATTAACACATTTACCGTCGAAAAAACATCTTTCATTCAAGACCAGCTGACCCTATTCTGAAATTTCGGAATTTCCTTCACCGTAATTAACTGACAATTTCCGCTCTTTGGTGTAACATTCTAGAATCTGATACTAAAATGACATCATCGGCTAAAAGAAGCATCAAAATGTCTATTACATTTGTGAACATTTCAATACCATACCGTTAGAAATAATTTCATAATAAAATTTACTAATAAAAAATAAGAAAAATATCGGGCTCAAGATATATCCTTGTCGTAAGCCATCAGGACATTTTAAGAAATCGGTTACAGTGTCACCACTTCGTACATATGATTTGATATTGGAATACATAGCTTTTAACATAGAGTACATTTTCCCCTGTAGACAAGTCGTTCTTAAAAGTTCTTAAACTTAGAAGGCTGATATATGTACAAATATTTACAGACACATGGGAAAGAGCTAAACTATATCTCGATTATCTGCCGAAGCAGATTCCATTGGGCTTAAAGGGAAACGAGTTGTCCAATTTATATGAATGGATCACTGAAAATCGCCGCACAGCAGTACGTCCACCAACGATACGACGGCGGACAAAACAGTCAAGACAATACAGTGAAAGTGGACCAGATATTTCAGTGGCACGATATCGCGTTAACTGATTTTAAGTGTGATACTGATTTTGTTTTGGCGCTGTTTTGAACTGTGTTTCAGGAATATCTAGGTGTGTCAGCTTAAAGTGGAACGAATATCTGCAGCGATGCCGATTCAAGGTCGAAACATTCGAGCTGGAGTATGGTGCTCAAAGAACTAAACATATTAATCACGGCGAACCTGGACTGCAAACTCTCGGGATAATCCGATTCTGTCGGGATTATGGGACCCATCAATATCCCGTGAAATGCGTCACTTAAGTTGACTGGAATAGCCCTGATATCTTTCTTTCTTTTTGTGAACCCTTGATGTCTCCTTGTACCTGACTATGTACCTATGTATGCTGAATTTTCACCGTGTGTTCTGAATATATATGACCGCATCCGTGGTCTAGTGGTAGATCGTCCGCCCGAAGAGCATAAGATCCGGGGTTCGATCCCCGCCCGCGTCATACTAGATGGCACTTGTAGTTACCCTGTCTGGCGCTCGGCATTAAGGGGCTAAAACAAGGACTGGTCGGCTCGGAGTCAGTACAATGTGTCTGAGTGGGGTATTCATGTCAATTTGCGTCATAGTGTCTCAGTGGGATAGAATTATAGAATCGGCATTAGTCCGGACTAGCACGCACGCACGCACGCACGCACGCACGCATGCACGCACGCACGCGCGCGCGCGCACACACACACACACACCTATGATTCTGGGTTCGAATCCCGTTTCGTCCCGATTATGTTTCTAGGTTTGTCAGCACCATACCCGTGCTCGTGGGTTTCACCAAAGTGGTAAACGTCTGGGACCTGCATCACTTTGGGCTTTCCTCACACATTAAGCTGACACGCCGTGATATAACTGGAATAATGTTAAAAGCGGCGTTAAACCCAACTCACTCACTCACCCCTTGGGAACGCCAGATACCTATGACTGTAGGTTTGGCAGCACCCTAACCGTGGTAAACATCTGAGATCCACATCACTTCGGACAAGCCGCCACGATGATAAAACTGGAATACTGTTCAAAACGGGGTTAAACCCAAATCACTCACTCTAAAGTTTACAGTTCCGGGTAGAAAAGACCCAGCCACTTACGGCATTGTGATCTGCCACATCGGTTTGCAACCAAGAGTAAGACATGGTGTTGCATTTTAGTGAGGACATCTGGTATTCAAAACTCTTGCACAGGTAATCCGTCTCGCTGATACAGGTATCTCGACATTGATCCACGGAGATCCCAAAGATAGTTTTGTTGTTCTTTCTGTATATCCCCCGACTATTATAAGAGCCGAAGGTAGAACCGTATTCAGTGCAATCTGGAAGACAATAAATATTTAATCTTAGCTGCGACACTTTAAATTGCACACTGATTTTATCATCGATAGCGTTTTCACCACAATACTTGTTTGCGATTGTCTAATAAATACATGCTTAACCACTAGGCTATCCCACCGCCCCAGCAACGTTAAGGAAGGCAGATCAATATTTGCTTGTTCAATAGTTGGTTGTGCAATATTTGCTTGTTCAATAGTTGGTTGTGCAATAGTTGTTTGTGCAATAGTTGGTTGTGCAATAGTTGGAATCGTACAATGGACTCTGTTACAGTAAAAATTTATTGGTTGGTTGGTTGGTTTGTTGTTTAACGCCGCACTCAGCAATATTCCAGCTATATGACGGAAGTCTGTAAATAATCGAGTCTGGACCAGACAATCCAGTGATTAATATCATGAGCATCGATCCACGCAATTGGGATTGATGACATGCATCAACCAAGTCAGCGAGCCTGACCACCCGATCCCGTTAGTCGCCTTTTACGACAAGCATAGTCACCTTTTATGGCAAGCATAGGTTGCTGAAGACCCATTCTACCCCTGAATCTTCACGGGTCTAAAAATTTATTGAGATTATGGAGAGGGTATTGTATTTATATAAAGCAAATATAGTTATAACCATGTAAAGGCAACAACACTGATATTACCTGTAAATGTTACTATAAAATATCATATTGGTCGGAGCAGTACTGCTTATAGTGAGATGTCCAATCAGCGATCAGTTCTGAATGCGTTAAATATATACAAGTCAATGCATCCATGATGACAAAAAAAGAACTTGGTGAAGAATATATACCTGTATCACACGTATCGTACCCCCTGTGTCTGGAGTGACTGTAGCCGATCTCACACAGACACTGTCCAGACTCACAGATAGAGTGTGCACCCAAGCAGTGGCTTGGGGTAGCGCAAGCCTTGCCGATGAAATCATCTGTTAAAAGGAAATGTTGAATAATTGAGTGTTCTTCGTCTTTTACTTCGCCGACTACTACTACTACTACTACTACTACTACTACTAGCACATACTGTTTAAATGAAAACTTTGTGAGTGGCGGGCTGGTTGGTTGGTTGCTTTGTTGTTTAACGCCGCACTCAGCAATATTCCAGCTATATGATGGCGGTCTGTAAATAATCGAGTCCAGACAATCCAGTGATTAATATCATGAGCATCGATCCACGCAATTGGGATTGATGACATGCATCAACCAAGTCAGCGAGCCTGACAACCCGATCCCGTTAATCGCCTTTTACGACAAGCATAGTCACCTTTTACGGTAAGCATGGGTTGCTGAAGACCTATTCTAACCTGGAATCTTCACGGGTCTGTGAGAGGGGGGTGACACCGATTGCGCAGGACATGGTAACTGTTTTCGCGAACACCTGGTGTCTTCACTGATTTTCTATGACCCATTCATATAATGTTCATGTTATTTTGCTTGCCTTTTATGGAATCTGTTTGGGCAGATCTTCAAGATTGGTCATTCTCTGGCGTTGACGTTTTCAGATCAATATCAACATAATTGAATATCAACATAAAAAAAGGCAATGCACATGTCATCTTCCCGAGGCAAGTGAGTTACCTGACTATAAAAGTCCAGTTTCCACCCTTGCCGAACTAGGCTGGTATTATGGAGTTACATTTTGGCTGGACTAACGAGTCTATGCATAGTCCACTCAAAATCGTGCACCGAAATCGAAATCCGGTTCGTAGAGTGTCATGCAGATTTCGGTCGACTGCAGGATTTGCAAAACATGTGCACCGCTAACTCGTTGTCAACATATATTTTCTAAATCTTTTTATGTTTTTAATCAAGGTGCTCACGTGATTTGATGCACTTCGCGATGTAAGACTCGTTTTATCAAAATATAGATCTTGATCATTGATCAGATCGTCCTGACTGGGCGCCACCATTTTGTGTGAAGCAAACGCAAGTGATACGAGAGGTGGAATCTGATTGGTCAACAGGAGAGGCATAGAAAGGACATAACTCGTAATAGCCACTGGTGGCGCTACGATCGAGCCCAGAAATTCCAGCTTAGCTCGGCAAGGGTGGAAACTGGACTTTTATAGTCAGTTAACTCTCTTGCCTCGGGAAGATGTGCACATATTGGCAATCATGTACTTAGCACTAGGCCAACGTACATTAATGCATGAGAAGAGCAAATGACTACACCAGATGATGGTGAAACTATGCAATGTGAACTCGCACGGGGAGACATATCAGGTGAAAGTGTCCTTTGCTCTGACTACCTCGAAACACCTTACTTTTACAAGTTGTAGAACTGTTAAGAAATTATCCATTGCGCACAAGGGGGCACGGGGGGCACGGGGGGCACGGGTGGCCCAGTCGTCTGAGGCGCCGCGATTCGCTGTGCAGAGTTGCGTCCCTTGGGCACGCCAGAAACCTATGATTGTGGGTTCGTATCATGGTTCGCCCCGATTATGTTTCTAGGTTTGTCAGCACCATACCCGTGCTGCGGGTTTCACCGAAGTGGTAAACGTCTGAGTCCTGCATCACTTGGGGCTTTCCTCCCACATTAAGCTGACACGCCGTGATATAACTGGAATACTGTAAAAAGCGGCATTAAACCCAACTCACTCACTCACTCATTGCGCACAGCTCTACGTTGGATCTCATGTAAAGATATCATCACTATTGTCATCAATGATTTCTTTATCACCAAAGTTGCTCTTTTCTATAGGAAACAACACATTAATATCCACTCTACAGTAACACATGGCTTATTGGTAGCCTAGTAGCTAAAGCGTTCATTGTCATGCTCCGAATAAAAACCGGTTTCATTTCCCGGATGTGCAAATCCAAATTTGTCAACACCCGATTTGGTATAGTTGGGTTTATTTTCTAAACGGTTAGTAAACAAAAGCAATAAAACCCTTTCCATAATTATCAGAAGTGATCTTTATATCATTAACGTTTCGGGGGCACGGGTGGCCCAGTCGTCTAAGGCGCCGCGATTCGCTGTGCAGAGTTGCGTCCCTTGGGCATGTCAGAAACCTATGATTGTGGTTTCGAATCACGGTTCCCCCCCCCCATTATGTTTCTAGGTTTGTCAGCACCATACCCGTGCTAGTGGGTTTCACCGAAGTGGTAAACATCTGAGACCTGCATCACTTCGGGCTTTCCACCCACATTAAGCTGACACGCCGTGATATAACTGGAATAATGTTAAAAGCGGCGTTAAACCCAACTCACTCACTCACTCACTCATTAACGTTTCTGGGGCTGTGAGGTACTCTGGTGGTTAGAGCTTTCTTTCTTCCCGTCGAAGGCCCGGGTTCATCATGTGATGCCCATTTCTGGTGTCCATCACCGTGCTATAGCTGGAATATATTGCCATCAGCGTCATAAAACTATACTCACTCATTAGCGTTGCTGAATAAAATGTAGTGATTTCTGCTTCATTCACAGCGAGTTTGACAATATAGCTAAAGCGGATAACTTGACGAACAAATACTAAGAAGTGTAATAAGTGTGTAATAAAAATAATAATAATTATAATAATAATAATAATAATGATACTGATAATAATGATAATAATAATAATGATAATGATGATGATGATGATGATAATAATAATAATAATAATAATAATAATAATAATAATAATAATAATAATAATAATAACAACAACAACAAGAACACAAAAATAACGATAATGCTTACAGGATATCTGCCTACGCGATTAGTAAGACTAATAGTAAAATAAAATCGTCATACCTCTTTCAATTATCAGGCAGTATGTATTCGTATGATTGTATGATTCGGATTTTGTATTGTATGATTCGGATTTTATCATAAGCACGTGTTTAGGAATCGGAATCATGTGATACCAGGCGTTTCGAAAAGGTTGGCTTATCCTGAGTCACCTCTGACACCCGTAACAAACCAATGGAAAGTCAATGCATGTGTTCACTTTTAACAAACATGGGAACAAATTGAACAAGTTAAAATTTCCATGTAAACGGGAAGGTACAAAGATACTTAACATACCAGAGGAACAGCTTCACAGACTTAACTCACCTCTGCATACCACGAACATGTTGAATCCTGGCTCGTCAACTGCTGTGACGTTGTCCGGAGTCGTGAAGTCCACGTTGTAGCCGCGACACTGTCCAGTGCCCGGGGAGTACCCTGTCGTCATACACTGACCATCCTGCATACACCTGGCCACACAGGACAGTCGGGTGTCCACCCCTTCTTCTGACCAGATCACGCCCTCAGTGACTCTCTTGTTGGTTAAGTCCGTCGTTGTTTTTACGACACAAGGAGGGTAGCATCCTGGGGATGCCTGTATACCAAGGAATGTCCAGAACAGGATCAGCTGGATAAATGCCATATCTATTCTTATGAGTTGTCTTCACAAACAAGGTTTATTCAGAATAGCACTGAGTCTCACAACAAACTCTATCTGACGATAAATAGTTGAGTTAATCGAATTTGTAATGTATTCACTTTATATAACGTCAGTATGTTTTTGCCTTGAATAAATTGTATCATGGTACGAATAAAGTCATCAATATGAGAGTTTTAAATGTAAACAGACTATTGATTTAAACAAGGCAGAAACAAGGACACGCTGTGTCACCTGAACTGTTCCATTGTATGCTATATTGATGTTTGGGCTCTAAGCAAAAAACGCCAGAGTGGTTGCTGCCTCGTAAGCAATTATTCACCACCAGATACGGGGCTGTTTTACTTTATCAATACATAAATATCAAAGCTTTAAGTGAGGTTGTTCCACAAGCCCTACGCAGGTAAATGCACAATTAGAGATAATGCTGGGGCAGACTGCCAACTGCTGTAATATCCAGAATCTATAATTGTTGATATTGGTTCCACTACTAATACACGCTCTATCAAAGTTTCCATAATGCTTGCAAACATGTAGGTGTGTGTTTGTGTGGCTGCTTGTAGTAGTCCGGACTGATGCCGATTTATAGTGCTAGCTCACTGAGATACCATGCCGCAATTTAACATGAATACCCCACTCAGACACAGTATACTGACTCCGAGCCGACCAGTCCTTGTTTTAGCCCCTTAATGCCGAGCGCCAGACAGGGTTACAACAAGTACCATCTTTTAACGTCTTTTGGTATGACGCGGTCGGGGATCGAACCCCGGACCTTCCGCTCACCTGCATAAGGCTAGTTGGAGTGATTTTCCTTTAATCATGTATTTGGCAGATGGTTAATGGGTAATATACACTGTACATTCGTCAAACTCGCACATTTAATTCCTAAATTATCTATGCATATATCCAGTAAATGAAGTTGATAAGCATGAATTCTTTCCTTTTTGCAATATGTAAATTTCAATGATTAATTCATTTTAAAGAAAATACCCACGTAAAAACAGAAAAATATAGGTTAGAAATTGTCAAAACTTAGTTTCCAGTGATATACTATTTTGATTTTTGTTATCAAACATTAAACACTCCTGAAAACCCAAAGAACGCAATAAACGGGTAGAAAAAAATATTGATATATTTTGACGCAATGTACGTTATGACCGTTCATAAAAGGCAAATACGATGTCCTAATAGTGTTGGAGTCACACATAAAATATTTAATGGGTACAATTCTATAGAGCCAAATTCCACGTCTGCCAGTGTGCCCACTTCTCTGCAACTGTGGATCAGTGTGCTATAAAAAGTCATTCTCATCATTGCCCGATTACAGTGTCTATATCTACAGCTCAGTAATGACAGATGCAAGTAAAGTTTTCTTTTGGAAGTACTAATACTGTTTTGGACATGAATTCCGACGTCTTAAATAATATTGTGAGTTTAGGAAATATGGAGTTTTTTAACGAAAAATTCGATCTCGAGTTGGTTGGTTTGTTGTTTCACGACAGACACTATCCTCGAACCACTAACACTACAACCCTTATCAGAGCAAAGATTCAGGAAGCTATGGGTATGGTGCTGACAAACCTAGAAACATAATCGGGGCGAACCGGGATTCGAACCCATAATCATAGGTTTCTGGCGTGCCCAGGGGACGCAACTCTGCACAGCGTATCGCGGCGCCTAAGACGACTGGGCCACCCGTGCCCCTCTCCCCCCCCCCCCCCCATCCCCCATTCGAAGTCAAACATGAACCACCAACTCTACAACCCCTATCTGAGCAAAGATTCAGGAAACTAACTGAAACTGATGAATCCATAATTCTCAAAGGATAACAATGAATGTGTAGTTTGTTATCTGGACCAAGTCTGCTGGGCCGAGCTGCCATTCGAAAACCTGCAACGAAACGTGACGTGGTCCAAGGGAGATAACTCCATTTTATTTTTTTTCAATCAGCTGATCAATTGCTGTTCATATGCACATGTGTTTGACCAGTTTAAACCGGCACAGTTTTATTTACGGACGAAATAATACAAATAAATAGCTTCAGCAAGGTATAATTCACACGCTTGAATATAATGTGTTTTAGTTCCACACTGTGCAGGTGACGTTAGCGTGGACACATCAACATGACAAAAATTACGCCTGAAAACCAGTACCAACACACACACACACACAACCACCCACCCACCCACCCGACCCCCGACACACACACACACACACACACAATCAAGCTGCCGAGTACCACAGAAATCGTTTAAAAATGCGAGATTAGTCTTTGTAATTTGGCATAGAAAGAGGACCAGAGAACACTCTTTTCCTACCTCGCCCTTGAACGGCTGGCCGATCAATGTTTTACATTGAATTGGACGAAATGTGCAGCTGATCAACAATGGACGGATATGTTCACACATTTCCTGTATTGATATCACATACAATAATATACTGATGCGGAAGCTGATATCGATGAAGGTGCCGATATATCAATAATAATTTGTTGGTAGTGTGTGAGTAAGGTTTTACGCCGCTTTTAGCACTTTCCCCACAGTACCGTGGGACACCAGTGATGTCTTCACACACCGTGCCCTTGTGGGACTCGAACTTGACAATCAGACGCTTTGATTGAGGAACCTTTTGATTTTTCTATTTAAATTATCAAGACCCTGTTTTACTGGTCCCAAAACATTACAAATGCCTCTCATTGTAGGAAAAAAATGTTGGTTTGTTGTTAATGCTATTTTCAGCAATATTCCCGCTATCTGACGGCGGTCTGTAAATAATCGAGTCTAGACCCGACAATCCAGTGATTGATATCATGAGCATCGATCCACGCAATTGGGATCGATGACATGTATCAACTAAGTCAGCGAGCCTGACCACCCGATCCCGTTAGTCGCCTTTTACGACATATAGGAAGCAAAGAACGAGTTCTAGTTCTAGCTCCTGATCGTAAATCAGGGGGATCTTCAGCCAAGAACAGCCGCTTCTGCTTGGCATCTTCAATGCAAGAATGGTTACTGACCATGGCTCCTGGAATACGGAATTGGAAAGAAAAACGAACCGGGCCGAACAACAACAAGACTAAGCCTCAGCAGAAGGTGTCCTGGAGACAAGCACAAGCACCAGCTGGACCTGATATGACACAGTTCTGGACATTCGTCAATTCTGGACATTTGCCCAATTACAATAAGTTCACGAACTATTGTTAAGCTGTATCATGACACCAGGTGTTCGCGTAACAGGGGGATCATGACCTGTTCCTGTGAAGATCGAGGTTACAGTGGATATTCCTGGTTCCATGAAACATGTATCAAGCAGTTGGTTGCTTTGTTGTTTAACGCCGCACTCAGCAATATTCCAGCTATATGACGGCGGTCTGTAAATAATCGAGTCTGGACCAGACAATCCAGTGATTGATACCATAAGCATCGATCCACCCAAATAGGATCGATGACATGCATCAACCAAGTCAGCGAGCCTGACCACCCGATCCCGTTAGTCGCCTTTTACAACAAGCACAGTCACCTTTAACGAGCATGGGTTGCTGAAGACCTGTTCTACCCCGGAATCTTCACGGGTCTGTATCAAGTAAAATGACAACGACTTCATTTGTAAAATGTGTCTGAAGAACGATTATTGAACTGGAAAATCTAGTTATACAATAGGCCGGGTTATAACAAATATACTACCAAAGCTGTGTTGAACCTGACTCACTCATGTAGTAACATTGCTTAATCTTAAAACAGGACCATCACTCAATGAACACTGTACAAGGCTGCATACCCAGTAGCTACAGTGTGTTTGACAGCTCTTGTCTCTCTTGAATGTTCTAGGTTTATGTTAATAATAGCTTTTCACTTCATGGTAATTGTTTCTTATCGATTGTAGGCAAATATTGGTTGTATATCATTTGAGTATTTATTCGCCCCACGTGTTGGTGTTATCGAGTTCACGTTTTTGTTCATGTAGAGATATATCGATATCCTTAAAGATTGGGGTGAGATAGTCATTCTGAATAATTTGATGAAACGTCATCGGATGCTGAGTTTGCAGAACAATACCAAGTGAGAATATCGAAGCTGGCCAAATGTAAACTAAGACACTCGGGGATTTCCAATACAAAACAAATACACCAGCTGAGGATATTTGATCCACGCGTCCGTTGAACAAGGCTATTGAGTTTTATCTTTGGCTTGTAGTGATTGGAGAAGTCTCTGGTTTGGTTTGGTTTGGTTTGTTTGTTGTTTAACGCCGCACTCAGCAATATTCCAGCTATATGACGGCGGTCTGTAAATAATCGAGTCTCGATCAGACAATCCAGTGATTGACATCATGTGCATCGATCCACGCAATTGGAATCGATGACATGCATCAATCAAGTCAGCGAGCCTGACCACCCGATCCCGTCAGTCGCCTCTTACGACAAGCTTACGGAGATGGGACCATCACTCAACAGTTGCTGAAGACCTGTTCTACCCGGGATCTTCACGGGTCGATTGAACAGGGTGACCTTGCAAATCAATCCCATGAATGATGACCAGTTGGAAAGTGCATTGAATGTATAATGCATTGTGTGAAACTCTCGTTAGTGGTTTGTCAGAAAGCCGTGGTCGTGAAGTACAATATTGATAGTAACGCGAGAAGAGAATAAATAGATGTCAGGAAAAGCCCTAGTTCATGCAGAGGGAAAGAAATAACAGTTAGCTGACATTTGCAAGTCCCAACTTTGTGTCCGGGCACGACTATACATTCAACCAGCCATTATATGTGGCACGTGCCAACGCTTTGCCACGTCAACGTCTCTCGCCATTATGCGTCAAATCGTGAAAATGTCAAGCTATATATAGTCAGTTGAACAAACCAGATTTTTTTCCCTGTCAGATCAAAACGTAAAACAAACTGTAAATCCACGTAGCTGATTACGCAATTGGCCCACTTTTACGTTCATCTCTATCTGCGCAATAATATACTGAAGTCAATAACAAATAAGGCAACAAACATATTTTCACAGACTGCATTTTTAATCAACAGGTGAGGTGAGGTGAGGTGAG